GGTTCTACAGATTCTGCAGGTTCCGCACCAGCGGCTAACAGCATTCAACCTTATTGTATCTTAAAATCTAAAAAATATATATATTTTAATTTACTATGTAGTTTCCTACCAGGGTTGGATAGTATAAAATTATATTTACTCACATTTACTTGAGTAACTTTATGAAAAACAGGAAATTTTAGGAGTAGTTTTAATGCAATTGTCTTTTTACATTTTACTGCATTTGGCTTTTTACTTTTACTTGAGTAAAAATAGAATCAATTATCACTGATTTTACTTGAATTAAACTTTTTGCTACTTTACCCATCAAAGAAATACTTTTTTAAACAAAACTGCACCAAAAAGAGATACACCTTCACTTTATATTTATGTTAGACTTTTATTTTTGTGCTCAAGCCTCATTGGATTAATGTAATTTTCTGTCTCTTATTATGCTGTGTCATTTTAAGGTTGAGTAAGTATAGAGTAAACAATATACTATATTGAATTATTGGAATTAACTCACTCCTTCTGTTATTCTGTAATTACTGTGAGTTATGAAGCCTAAGCGAATATTCAACCTGGAAGACTCTTATCAGCCTCATCTGAACAACCTTCTGATATGTGTTGTTCAAGCTCCAGCCAATCGACTTCGGGACCGCACCCCCTCTGATGCCAATCATCATTGAAGATCCCCTTCATAAAGCTCCTCACCCAGCTTTCCTCCTGCATACCAGCTGAACTTTTATCCACCTCTGCCCCAACTCCTTCCTTCCTCTCAGGCTAGTCTCAGTCTTATTCGTCCTTCTGTTTCTTCCAACACCTTTGTCCAGGCTCCGGGGGGAAAACTACTGTAATCCTCTAAACTTTTTCCAACGTTATTCATCATAGCAAATGTCTATTCACAGCATCAAAGTCTTCTTCAGGGGTCAGAGCGCCAAAGAACCTATATCATTCAAATTGTTCTAATCGTTAATCGTTCTCACCAGTTTGAAATATATTAATTTGCTTTCCCATTCTAAAATACAAGCATTTGGAAAAAAATATATATTTCTGGCCCGGCAGGGGACGAAGACTAGAAATTAGCATTAGTCATCAAAATATTTAGAGTACTCACTAAAAAGATTACCTTTCTACTGAACCTGTCACTTTAAGTTTGCCTAAGATCTGCAGCTGTCTATAATGAAAGGACTTCTGGAGAAAATCCTTCTGTTCTGGAAAATGATTGAGCTGTTTGGCCATAATGACAAGAAAAATGTATGGAGTAGTCAAAGCAAAGAGTACAAAATGAAGAATATTGCATGTGCTGGAAAGCATGGTGGTGGCAGTGTATTGATAAGGGACTGTTTCACTGCCAGCATTATGGCGCATAGAAAATAGTGGATGGAAAAAGGAAACTTAATTTCAAAAACTCAACAGCTAGATGGCAGAAATATGGACATAGTCAATAATTGTATTGACATTATAAATGTGAATAAAACTATTATCAATGGAATAGCGATATTGCGCTATTTCCATTGAATAAGAAATACAATTAGAATTGCACTTGAATATGTTTGTTTTCCGATAACTTGAAAAAGAAACATCGCAGCTGGGGTTGGAAACACCTAAAGATACATCTATATTTCAGCCACAGCTCTAGTGCTCATCATTGCGAACAGAACGTAAAAAAACAGTCTCCTTATGAGTTCCAAATATACCTCGCCATCATTCTCTGACTACTTCCGGTCTTGATGATGCTTTAGAAAAAGTGTTTTCCTTTGCAGTTTTGCAAAATTGAATAATTTTAATGCAATTGAAAAATCACCCCTTCAAGGTGTATAAACTTTTAATAAAAAAAAAAGTGAGCTGTAGGATAATTAGTCAAACCTATATAACAGATTAGTTTAAATACATTATAAAAATTCCAAAAAATATCGTACAAAGAAGATAAAAATTGTAGTTTACAGCTGATTTAAACCTGAAACACCAAAAATATAACATATATTTCAATATAAGAATTTAAGAAGAACAAAAACTACAATGAGACCCCTGACAAATTTTTGTTAGAAGTTCTGTTGTGTTATCCTATTCTCGATCATCACTGTTTAAATTCAAACACCCAGGGACACACTAACGTCAGCAACCGTCAATTAATTCTGGAAATAACACAAGTGTCCCCAAAGTGTGAAAGCTTGATTTAAAACAGTGTTTAAATGAAAGTATTCTAATATTTGTGTCATTTTAGTTTTATTAACCCTTAACGGTAATGCATTAAAAATAATTCATATTTGGTGAAATTAAAGTTTTCACTTAAACACTTATATTTCAAATAATCTGGTTGAAACACAAGGCCATGTTTTTGTTGTGCATGATGCTAATTAAAGAAACTGCAATAAGTGACAGGCATGCGTCCAAACTTTCCAGGATGTGTTGCATTTGAAGGTCATCTGAGTCTTCTCTAACAGTCTCTCTCTCTCCCTC